GTCTCAAAAAAAAAAAAAAAGAACTTTTAAATATTAAAGTATAATAATAAAATTAAGAAGTGTTATGGATTTGAATAGATATTTCTCCAAAGATAGACAAATTGCCAAAAGTATATGAAATGATGCTCAACTGTCAGTCATTTGGGAAATTCAAACCAAAAACACAATTATATACCATTGCACCTTGTTACTAAAAACAGCTGACTGATGAGAGTTAATAGATAAATACCCTTTACCCTTTGGCTGGGATGGCTCTGAGGAATATGACTCTACAGTGTCTTCCATAATTTCCTGGTAAGGTTAAGCTCCAGTTACCCATAGTAACAACTTTCTTGATAATGTACTCTTTAATCTTCCTTTTCCTATTTCACCCCCCAGCCAGTGTTTCCTGAGATCACTTTCTCAAAAAAGTACTTGCATTTGTAGTCCTTACCTTAAACATTGTTATTGTTACTAAATTTTGAGCCTGTTTAATTTTGTGAAGGCAAAAAGTAGAAACCAAATAAACACATGTATATGTATAGAGAAAATTTAAAAAATTAAAAGGAAAAAAAAAGTACTTACACTCAAATCCCTGTCTTGGGGTCTACTTCTGAGAGGAACCCAAATCAAGGCAGAAAAAGGAAGAGTTGGGGTTTGATAAATGGTTTGAGAGGGATATTAACAATTATGCCTTAACTCTCCAATTTCTTCAACTTCTCCCTCTCCAGAATTTCCACTCCCCTTTCATATTTTCCTGTCTCTATAACCCTTATAAGATTTCCTTGACATTACAGCCTCCCTCTAGCTACTGCCATGTATCTTCAGTGAAAATTTTTTTAAAAGCTGTCTTTGGATTTTCATTTCCCACTCGGACCTAAAAATACTGTAATCTGGCTAAAATCTATTACATTTACTAGTAACAAATGACATCATAACTCCAAAATGCAGTGGATAACTCAAGTCATCATCTAGGACATCTGACACTGATGCTCTTAAGCAATCCCTTTCTCATAAAGCACAAGGTTCATATTTCCAAGATACCATATTCCTGACTCTTTTCATCTTTCTAATTTGTTTTTCCAAGTCTTTTTTAAGGGCCCTCTACCTCAGCTACATCCTTATGTAAAGGTATGCTTTAGGGAACACTACGCCCACCCTTTTCTCTTTTATCACTTCCTCTGGTTAACCTCCATTCCCATAGATTGTTTCCAGCCTTCTTAGGACAATTCTAAAATCTCTACCTATAGGCATACTTTGATGGTGGGCCTCTCAGATTCCCACTATTCTTGCATATGCTCCCATTAAATAAACCATCATATAGTATTGTTACTATCAGCATGTCTTCCTGTTAGTTAGAATGTCAGTTTCCTAAAGCCAGGAATTATGTGACAGGCACAGAGTAGGTGCTCAATATTTATGCAAACTGCTAAAGGCCTCTTTCATTTCCTGGGTCTTGTCAGAAAATATGCAATCCCACAATACTATGCAATATATCCTACAAATATAAATCTTATAATTTCTCACCTTGAATTTTCTTCGTGTCCTCACTTTCCATGCTTATCTATATTCTCTTTCCTTATACTTCATCTATAAGATAAAGGTATTTTCTCAATTTAAATCAATGTTTGAGAATGCCAGAGATGTAAATGCAAATGGATAGGAAAAGAACTGAAGTCAGAAGACCAGGGATTGAACCTGCAACTTATTAAATGTGTGATATTTGACAGGTTGCTTAAATTCTGAGGCTGAGTTTCCTCATCTGTAAAATAGGAATGATACTGCTATTCCACAGAATTGATATAAGAATTACATTTGAAAACATACATGGCTCGGCGCCTATAGCTCAAC